ATAATAATAATAACGATGATGATGATGATGATGATGATGATGATGATGATGATGATGGTGATGATGATTATGGTAATAATAATAGCGATTATGATAACAATGGTTATAGTAATAATTACGATAATCATTACTATCGTGTATTATAATCATTCATATCATTATTATCATCATTACAACTATCATAACTATTATCTTCATTAATATTATTATTATTAAGTATTACCATTACTATTGTTATCATTATAACATTATCGTTATCATTATTATTATTCCTTATATTCTCATAATTTTATCATCGTCATTATCATTATCACTCTGTTATAATGACAATGACAATGCTATTATTAAAATAGTAATAATATCAATAACAAAATTAATAACAAAAATAATGATTATCATGTTATCATAATAAAAATAAGAATTGCAGCAACAAAACTATGTTATTAATGGTGCTATTATCATCATTACTACTATCACTTTGACATTATGATTACTCCTAGCATCTTATTTATCATTATCAATATAGTCATTATGAATAGTTATTATTCCTACTTTTGTTAAAGTCTTTTTTATCATAAAAATTTTCATTATCATTATTATTACCATCATTATCATCAATATCTTTCATATCATCATATATACTCCTATTACAATTGTTTTCATAAATAATGTAATCCTTATTACTATCATCATTCCAATGACAATTCTTTAAAAGATAATACCTATCAGCATTCATTAACTTTATAGTTATTATCGATATCATTATTAGTCTTATTATTACAAACTTTATTTTGTATCATCGTTACCAGTACTATCACATTAATATGATCATTATCATTGTCATTAGTCATTATGATTATCATTACTATTATCATTATCATTTCCAATTCTATCAACATTTTTATTATTGTTACTATCATTGCTATCAATATATTATTATTATTATCGCTATCATTCTTATTGTTGCTATTACTATTATCATTATTATTATTATCATTATTAATGTTATTATAAATAGTATTCTCAATGGCATCGTTATTATCACTATAATCATGATTATCATTATAATCATCAATATTTTATGATCTTTATTATAATCATTATCATTATCATTATTATTAATATATCTAAATCACTCATTGCTATAATTATCATTATAATTATCGGCATCATTATCATCGCTGCACCATTATCATCATTATTGTTACCTTTGTTACTAATGCTACTATCATTATCATTACCAATATCATTATTCTTATTGATAGCATTATACCTTATGATAATCTCAATAATAACAATAATGATAATTATAGCTAACAAATGCTAATAACAATATATATATATATATATAAGTATCGATAGTATAATAACAATGATAATATAGTTTTACTTATATTTGTTATTATTACCATTAATATGTTCATTAGTATCATGCATTGCTATTATTATTCACACCATCGCCATTAACATTATAATCATCATTACTATTATCATAATTCCCATTATTCTAAATGTAACGGCAGCAGCATTGTACCCGACAATCCTACCTTTCATAATGCTTACTGATATTACTGATTATCACGATCATAATAAATACCATTATCATTAAAGGTACTGTCTTTATCCTTAATTTTACGGTCATCATATCATCACTACTTTCTCCAAATTATTCTTATATAAACTGAAATAATAACAATAGTAGTAGTAGTAGTAGTAGTAGTAGTAGTAGTAGTAGTAGTAGTAATAATAATAATAATACTTTTTATTATTATTATTATTATTATGATAATGATAAAGATGGTAATAATAATAATATCAATAATAACAATAGTTGTAGTTTTAGTTTCAGTCGTTGTAGTAGTTGTAATAATAATAATAATGATAATGATAATGATAATGATAATGATAATGATAATAATAATAATCGTCGCAGTTTTAGTTGTAGTTGTAGTAATAGTCGTAATAATAATATTAACAGGAAGAGTGCACTCATCTTTATTACCGAACCGCAGAATAGCAATGACAACGAAACTAGTAGCAGAAGAAGAGGTAGTAGCATCTGAAGTGGTTTAGTGAGTAGTTCAGCGCAAAGTAGATAATGCAACATGAACGATTTACTTTAGTATAAAACAGTTAGAGCAACAGCTGGGGCTGTAGTAATATCTACTACACTTAGTACAGTCGTACTATATAATACAGCAGTCATCTAAACAATTAAATAACAAAGTACATAACGTAACTGTCACTGACAATCATAATAGAATGTCACGATACGGGAACCTGAGGAAAAGTCCAATTCATAAATTATGACTTACTGTCGTTCCGTTTCCACTCAAAATGATATTACGTACATTTCCCTAACTGGAAATTTCTTTTAAAAACCATCAGCTGAAGCCAGAACGCAATTGCAAATGGTTACGCCTTAAATCAAGTCATCCTCATTCATGACGGAGATAACAACAACAATCAACTTAATGGAATCAACAAAGTGCACGTCCTAAACGGCGTTGATTGAAACATTATTTGACTGAAGTGCTTCTGTACACGCGTGTGTACAGGGGAGGGGGGAGGAGGGAGGGAGGGGAGGGAAGTGTGGGGTTTCAAACCAGTTTACGCTTATCACGCAAAAGTCTCTCCCAAGTTGCGTCATCGTGGTGGGAGACGGGACACGCAGCTGTCAGGGTATGTCAAGAAAAGACTTTAATAAATGAGTTTTTAGAATCTCCTGTATCATTAGTAATTGGTGTAAGACAACGTTTTTATATCTTCGCGAACACCAGGGGCAAGTGTTTGGTTTGTGTCCTGGAGGTGCGGCTGAGGCCAGGGGGGACTGCTTCCCACGACAGGTGACTGCCTCGGGTGTCATTCTTGCAGCACAGGGGCTACATGGACTCACCTCTGGAAGTATGTTTCGGTATGCGCGTGAGAAAGAGAGAGGAATTTAAGCTTCTCTTGTGTAAATTCTCTTATTTCTTATTCTACGAAGATGAGAATAGATAGGCTTATTATAAGTAGATTCTGCATGACAAGTAAAATGTACATTGATAGTATTTTTGGTTAAGCAATATGCCTTCATCGTACATAGCTACTGTGCCCATGCAGTCCTTTGAAAAATACTGTTTGAGAGCGATAGCAATTCTGAGACTAATGCTGTGAAAGCAGTTTATTGTGCATTTTATTTGTATATGTGTATGCGTATGCGTGTGCGTGTTATATATGTGTTTAATGTGTAGTTGCATAGTATATAATATATATTATATATATACATATATTAATATTATATAGTATAATATATATTATATTTTTTTATAACTATATTTTATATATATATTTATATATATATACATAATATATAACATATAGTGATATTATGATAATATATTAGTATAATATTATCTACTATACATATATATTATATATATATTATATATATAGATATA